TATCTTTTTTAATATCAAGAATTGAACTATGATAAATTGTGATATATCGCAATATTTTTGTTCATAGTTATTAACGGACCATCCTGTATTAAAAACTCAAATTAAATCAGTAGCGTATCTAAACATTTTGGTTATTGTCCCATCTTCTAAAAATTTCATCTACTTTTATCTTAGTTAAAATTAATATATACCGGGTGTTAAAATTAAAGTGTAAATACCGCCTTTTATATATAAAAAAAACGTTTCAGACGAAAGTTTTATAGTTTTATGGGGAAAAAAATTTGGCTAAAATTAAAGTTGAAAGTCCAAGTAAAAAAAAATGTTTCTTTTAAAAGTTAATTATTTTTTTATGAACTTTAAGAATATGTAAAAAAATGGGGTTCCTATTTGAAAAAAAAGTTTACCTCGATATGGCCATATTATGGTCAGTTATAAAAAATGAATTTAGCCCGTTTCCCCCAAAAAACTATAAAACTTTTGTCTGAAACTTGTTTTTATAAATGTTCGGCGGTATTTAACTGCAACACTTTAATTTGAACACCCGGTATATATGGAAATATTAAATATAACTGACAAAAACATTTTGTAAATATAAATCCTTAAATAGAGAATATTCATTGCGATAAAGGTACTGAATATCTTTAGGTTACTTCAATAATATCCTTCCCTTTTAACATTTCCTAAATTTCTTATTAATTGTTTTTTTTTTTTCTTTTCAGCGAATATCCGTAAAGAAAAATTTAAATCGCCGAAAAATTTCTCGAGTTAATCGGTAGCGCGATATCAATGGTTTGAGCTCATGTTCATTTCACCTCTAACAATAAAGACGTTTGTTCTTAGAATGTATATCCTAGGATCAAATGGACAAGGCTGCAGATATACTACCCAGAGATATATCTACATATCAAAGGGTTGATATAGAATTGAATATGATACGATAATCATTAATGTCGCCGGGAATAGAAGATTTGTCCGGACGCGTTTTAATCGGGCATATCTACTGGAAATAATGGATATTACAGAAAAACTAAAGAAAAAACTAATGGAACAGAGAGCAAAGGAGCAATGAGCGGTCTCAAATGGTGAGTCTTTTGAATTAAACTGAGCATTTTTGTAGACAAATTATTTTAAAGTATCTTTTTCTAGATTTGTCATTCATTTTTATTTCCATCTAAATTTCTTATATTCACTAGTGCAATGAAGTCCAATGTTTCTCTTATCTTAAAATATATGAAAAAATATAAACGTTAACATTTTTTAATGCATATGTGTAAAATATGCATACACAACAGTGTATTCAGTTACAGCGAAACAGCTTTAATTTCGATGACTCACCCGATACATTTTTTATTATTCATTTTAGCGTAAAATTTAATATACTGATATGAATATAAGAATTTAGATGTATAATTTATTTTTTCTACACCCGTATTATAATAATGCACTTATATGCCCATAATCCGTTTCATAATGATACCCATTATGATACAGATTTTTCATTATGATACAGATTTTTAATCAATAGAAACCTACAATTTTTCAATCAAGCATGATGTTTGACGTTTGTCCTAAATTCCTATGTAATTGTTTTAGTTGTCAAAACGTATTAAATTTTCGTAGATAGCTAAACTTCGATAATTATAATATTAAAATGTCTGATATCAGCGATATAGAAGACTCCTCCACACATATCGGAGAAAGGAGAAAATGCAGTACAAAATATTTTGCCCCAAAAATCTGTGGTAATACCAATACCCAAGGTAATACCATTAATTACAATTTTGTAGAATTTTTTATAGAAATACGAGTAATTACTGTTATTGTGTTCAATGCCAATATAAATAGAATATTTATAGGTCTTGATTATTTATCGGGTGTAGAAAAAATAGCGTATGCAACTCTCATGTAATGGTTATTAAAACACTCGCATAAACCATACGAAACTCGCCTTTGGCTCGTTTCGTATCCCGGTTAATGCTCGTGTATTAATAACCATCATTACATGATCGTTGCATAATATACTATTTAATACCCAGTATAGCTAGCTCAGTAATTATATAACTTTTTTATTAGATGATGAATATTTGTACTACAATTTTGGGTTGGGTTCTCTCACTTGTATTTCTCATAATCAAAAGAAAAGAAAAAAAAGAAAAATAAATAAAAAAATAAACTCACCTACGAAATTTCTATAATTTTTCACTTTCAAATATTAATTTACCTATTCCCTCTATGTTTGATTTGATCACACTGTATTGTAATTTAGACTAAAAATAAAAAAAAAATAATTTAGAAATTATATTATTTTTATTGTCGTCGTCTTCTTCTTCTCAGCCTTGTCTGCACTTCTCTCTCCTTACTCTCCTATTTACACTGCTATTGTTCTACCGGCTGCCTTATTTCTGCTATCTTGCCTTGCTTTCTGCTTTTCTTCTGATTTATGGTTTTTATAAATGAAATTTCTTTACCATTTTTATACTTTTCTTTATCTTAACGCTCAAATGTTTAACAATTCTTCAATTCTAATCTTAATTTTTATCCAATACGTATATCTCTTAGCTTTATTTCAACATTCAAAAAAGTCCCCCCCCCCCTCTGACATTTATTATTCCCGCTGACAATCTAAAATTAATTTTCAAAACTTCCAAATTGACTTTTCCCCCCCGAAACATTGATTTTCATTTCTATTTTCAAAACCAAACATAGAGTGTTTAATTTTTAGTTAACCAAATTACGTCATAATACATATGCATTTTTTTTTTAATTTTCTACGTTGTCTACTTATTGTCAAAAATGTGAGAATTTTCTAAAAAATTGTTCAAAACTTTGGTATTATCATTTAAGGTAAAACAATTGCTAAATGCGAAGATATGGGTTGGCTGAAACGTGTGACAAAATCAAATGTTTATTTTTATGTACAGGAAATTTTATACAAGGGACTCAACTTACAATTCTCTTAACATTTAAAACTTGGTTTTTTTGAATTGGACACCCAGTATATTATTTTACTATTTGAGTAATGAGAACGACAGTACATTGCATCATCATATTTCGTTCTACAGAAATACAGAAACAACTACTTAGTTCTTTATACAATGCAGTGACGTTTGCTGTGAAAAAAATTGGGGGTTCCCAATGACAGAATATGGATCTCAATACAGATTTAGGTAAAAAACTTTCAGTGATTATAATATACATTTCCAAAACACTAAAAATTTTTTACTTAAATATGTGCTGAGAACTATATTTTGTCATTGTGAACCCCCAATTTTTTGGGCACGATCTGCCACTGATACAATGCAAATACTGTACAGGCGGGATAGGTAGTAAACTGTAGGATTATTCATCTACTTTTCCATGCCATTTGTCAAAATTGTTAAAAGATGTCACAACCTGTCTTTAAAATATAATAGGCTTATTGTAAGGTTTCGACCTATTTACTTTTAATAATTAAAACGTATTAAGCGTATTAAGCCGATCCTGCGTGAATGCTCCACAAAATCTTAATGCCCCAAATCAATGTTAGGAATACAATTTATTGTATAAAATTATTGTATTCTCTTTTTGTTAGAATATGTTCTGTGATACTTATATTATAAGTCTGTTTATGTTCGTAGTTAGTAGTTATGTATGTTGTTAACTAATATATATATATATATATATATATATATATATATATATATATATATATATATATAGGGTGACAAATAGAAAAAAAAAGGGTTGTCAAAAGTTGATCTTAATCTTTATTTAAAATAACATTTACAACGTATCTCTACCGATCTACGCATACCACTGCTGCAGTACCTACTCACCAACACTTTTCGATAGTTCTAGTTCTAATTTTTAATCTCTATTTGTTTTTACATAATGGGTAATTTTCCGAATTTTAAAAAATGCCACTTCCTATCAATCACCGAAGACTTGAGAAGTTTCTGGATAGCTCATCCACCAAATTTTGATAGTCACGAATTTACCATAATTTACGATGTCTACCATGGGCGGATTATTCGGAGGGGTTTCGGAAGTTGACCTTTTTTATTATATATTCTTATTAACGAGAGAACGGAGGTGCTCTGTTGGTTTCTTTAAAGCTATTTTTAAAAATATCAATGTATTTCAAAAAGTTTTTATAAAGCCTAAAAAAATATGGTGTTGTTTTTAGAAAAAAAAAAAAAAAAAATAAATAAATAAATCTTTCGAAGCTAGCGCATTACTTTAATTTTTGTAAAATTCAAAGAACAACTTTTTGAATAGAGTACAAAAATCGGCATAAAATATGTTTCAACTTATAATGCCCTAGGTGCTCTGCTGCTGCCTTTGATATACGTAAAAACTAAAATGTTTTGTATAAAATTAAGACAAATTGAGAATTGCCGCCTAGGATGCTCTTATTAGGGTTACCATATGCAAAAATACAATTTCTTGACGTACCTAAGGAAACTCCTGGATATTTTTTTAAAAATCCGGTCAAAATAATCAAACTCGAACTCTTGTGTAATAATTACTAAAGGTTTTATTTAAAAAAATGCATACCGGAGAGATATTTATCGTATAACTTAAATTTTATATTGGATATTTATCGCACGATTCGGAAATTATGTCCACATTAATTTTAACGGGTTTTCAAGTTTACCTTAATATATGTATATCATTTTTAATTTCCGGCGCATTACGGACAAAACGCCAAAATTCCAGACATGTCCGGGCTATTCCTGACGTCTGCTCTAACCCTAACCGCAGGGCACTCAAATTTCCCGTCCACCCACACAAATCGCGTCGGTTTGGCAACAATGGTCGCGACAGATCAGTTGAGATCCGCGGTGCTTGCGATTCGACAATTTCTGAGTTTTCAGTTTTCAGTCGGTCGAATCCAGCCAGCTAGGCAACTGCGTGTGACGTAGACGCGGCTCACCGGTCGCTTAGTTCTCGTACGTCTATTCGTTCTGTGAGAAAAATTCGAAAACTTGGCGCCCGTGGATGTAAAATCTCACATTGCCATGAGAGGAAAAATAAATTTGACCGGTTTTTCTTGCTGGTTTGTGGTGTGTTTGATTAGTGTTGTGCTCGCCAAAAATGTGGATAATTTAAGGGCTAAAAGAACTGCGGCTGAGGGTAGTTGTGACCATGTAGGACAGTTTTTTAGTTTGAAGAATATCACTGTCTCCATGGTGGCTGCTAAAGGTAAGCGCTTTCAAACTTTTGATAAACTTTATTCGTGAGCGTTATAAGTCAGTTATGGTTACCAAAGTTATTTAAATGTTTTCAATAAAATAAGACGGTTTTTTATCGGTCATAATAACATGTTCATGTTTTGATTACATACTTTGAACCAGTACGGTCATGATTTAATCCCTTAAGTTCCTTTCTGCCTTATTTCGGCCACCGCTTGTCCGATTATCAAAAATATTCAAAGAATTAATAGCCCCTCGAAACCAATCCCAATGGGACAACTATGTAAGAGGGACGACAGTAGTCATACTGTTGTTCATTCGTCTGGAATATACTAAAACACAGTAGATCGATTGTTCTATACTAAATTGCAACTTATGGCGAAGGTGTCGTTTTGTCGAAGAATTTGGTGGTGGAAACATCGAAGCTCTTCACCATTATATACAGGGTGTTAAAAAAAAAGTGTCACAAAATGAAATGCTGAATAGTATGACCCAAAATAAGCAGAAAAGTCTTAATAAATATATGACCGCAAATTAACGGTTTCGGACATACGGACCATTTTGTGTTTATAACAATTTTTTGTTATTATAAAAAAGTAATGATATTTATAAACAATCAATAACAACATAGAGTTAAATGAGATGTTCAAAGTGCCCTCCCTCCATTTCAATGCATTGCCATTTGCACGACCGTACATAAAATGCATGTCAGCTAATTCAATATTAGTGTAAACAGGCATAACGAAAATTTATAAAATTATTCACCCACAACAAAATAATAACTGCAAATAGTATCTATGAAAAAACATCGGTAGACACCGATAAGAAAAGCAAGTTTTTGAGAATGAAAAAAGATAATCAAAAAATGATACTCCGTATCTCTGAAACCATTCATTTGCGGACATATGTTTATTAAGACTTTTCTGCATATTTTGGCCCATACTACCCCCCGTTTTATTTTGTGACACTTTTTTTTTAACACCCTGTATAAATAAGCTACGCTGAATGAAAATTTATTAAATAAACTATTTTTAAAAAAAGACAATACACTTCTATGATCTCCATTACACAGTGGTGGCTTTTGGCAATTTAAAAAGGGTGTTCATATAAAAACTCAAAATATCAACAATTATTAATATAAGTACTTTATTAAAACTTAACTATAGCAATCGTTTGTCCACATATTATTTTAGTTTGCACATTCCCAATTTTCGTATGTCCACCCAATAAAAGTTAGATATTGACTAATAAAGAACCCAAAATATGAACAATAATTAATTATTGACCTAAGTTCTTCTAATAGCAATTTTTTTAAATTAGCTATTGAAATCGTTTGTGCACACAAATTTTTTTATTTAATTTATAACTTATTTATGTTGGATGGACAAACGAAAATAATGTGTGGACAAACAATTGCCTTATTTAATTCACCTAAAATGTATCAAAGTTATCCCTAAAGACTATGTGAATTATGTTTGTTTTAGTTTTTAAATATCTTAGTTTTGGAGGGTGGACAAACGAAAATTTTTGTTGGAAAAACGTGAACAATTTTAAATAATCAAAAAGTTTTTACGGCGGTGCCGATGCGATATTACTTATTATTTTGCGCACTTATTTATCTATAGGTATTTGCTGTAAAATATAATTCCAAAAAATAAACAATTTCTCGTACAGTTTCTACGTCTTTGATTAGAAACAACTGTTCACTTTTATTATAGCATTTTAATGATCAATAAGTACATTTAATTACCACTTTATGTTCATTAAGCACAAATGATTTAAATTGAAAAATACATATTATTGATACTAAATACTGATATCGATAAATATTACGTTACTTTATTTGCTAATATAATATAAGATAAGTCAGGCAAGTTGTTGTTTGTTTGCATGGCCAATACCTATAATATAAACAAAGCATATATATCTACTGTAAAATAAAATAACGATTGCATTTATTCAATTCCTTTTTTTGTTTCGTTATTTATGACGTTTTTGCTGAGGTAGGTATGGGTATAAGTAAATAAATAAAGTATTCGTACTTTCTAATTAACATTCCGTGTTCTCATATTGTTCTCGAACGCCGTTTTTGACAATATATTTTATTTCTCCATTCTCCAATCGATTTCCCCTGTAAATTTTTTATTTGTGCACCTAATGTCAATCGGGACGGCAGACCAACGTAATCAAAGCCTTATTAAAAAAGAGTCAACATACTCAAAGCATTTTTGTCCATCTAGATTTGCAAAGAAGTAAATAAGAATTTTCTTCCATCTACATTTGCAAAGTTATTACTTACACAATTTGTATCCTTCTAGATTTATGAAATGTTAAAACACTTCTATCTAGATTTGAGAAATGGTACTCGAGCAATGTTTATCCATCTAGCTTTGCAAAGTGTTATTTGCCACTTTGCATCCCAAGATATCATCAGATAACTTTATTTAATTCCAAGGATATTACATGTAGGTACATTTGTTTAACAAAAAAAATATATTTTATGTGTATATTATGATTAAAAATTAAACTGAATTAAAAAAAATATTTTTTATACCTTACGTGTTGACGTATTGACCTCTCTTTTTAGCTACGGGCTTTCGCGAAAACATCTCATTCAGAATAGTGCATCATGGAAACGCGAATAGCTAGAGCGCAGTGGCTAAAAATAGTGACTAATACGTATCAAAACAATAAAATTGAATTTATATTTTTATATTAATTATTTTAAAAATAATGTGTTTTTTTGAAATGTAATTGGGTGTTTACTGCACAAATGATCATTCGAAGTTAACAGGACTCTCGAAGGTAACAGGATACCTTATTCTATGTAAAAGACGAGTAGCATACAGTTTTTGAGTAGAGTATGAAAATGAGCTTAAAAATATGGCATAGGCTTTCATCCCAAAAATAGAGCAAAAGTACTTTGTTGCTCAAAACGCTATTAAAAATTATACATGTTATTATTATTTACTGTTCAGACCAATAAATTTGTAAATCAAAATAAAAAGAATTTTGTTAGGTAGCACAATGTGAAGAAACTTCTGAAATTTCCTTCCATTGTAATTCAATTTTTGAAGACCAATTGAAAGGGTGTCAATTACTGGAATACTGTTAATTATTGGCATACTTATCATACCTAATTGATTGTTCTTAAAAAATGAGTAAAACATAGTGCTTATTTTTCAATAAATAAAAATGTATTGCCCTAAAGACTAACCATTTTAAACACCCTATATGTGTAGGTAAAAAAATAGTAAAAAAATGCAAAAACTTATTAGATCATTGTTTTTATTTATTGCTGTATAGTGTTTTGAACATCGTCGATTAAATATGGAAACGCCCCGTATAGTTAGTAATTTGCATAAATATTTTACTCAATTAAAAACTTAATAATACCCGAGAAAAAATCCATATAGCATAAACGCCGACAGCGTCAGCATCAGCATCTATTTACTCGTCTTCGGAAATAAATAGCGTGGAACACAAAGCGAGCTAACAGCTATAACGGCTATAAGTATAGCCGCGAGTAATTGCAGTCGCTTGACGGCAACGGCGATAAGTCACAATAACGCATTTTCATTGTCACTCGCCCATCTGCGAACGTTAATAGAATGACATTACCTTCATGGTCTCGGTATTTGGTTCTTTTTTTATCAGTAATTATTACTAGTCCATGAACTGTACCTAGAATGGTAGTCCGTGGGCCGAGATAGCCATATTTATAACATCGAAAAGCCGATTTATAAAATTATGGTACACGGAAAAAACAGTGTCAAATACATTATTTACTTGTTTGTCCAACATTTTCGTTTATCTATCCTTCAAAAAAAAAAAGTAATGACAATATAAAAAATTATTTGAAGCAAATTTGACTCCAGCACCGCCATAAAAACGACAAAATTTGTTGGATAAACGTGGACAAAATTGTCATTTGGTGATGTCAATTTCACGAACCTGAACTATTACCATAATCAGATGAAAAATAATTATAAAATATTCAACATTAAAACCTGAAATTAATTCTGACTCCTTCTCAAATTCAAAAAGGAGTTCGATTATTTCATTTACAAAAATTCCAACCCTATCTACTTGTCTTAAGCGAAAATAATTTAATTTATTTTTCGAAAATAAAAATTAAACTTATTTAAATTCAAGAACAAATAATTATTCATTTTTTTTTTCAAGGGCTATTGTGCAAGGTTGCGAATATTATAGACAAAACAATATAGAACCCGAGACACTATTTTGACGCATTCTAAATGTTCTCTGAGATGCAGAATTAACAATTCTTTCGCTAATAATTTACCACAGTGTTGAAATGGCCCATGTACTATATCTCATTTCTTGTACTGATTCAGACAACTAGCTTATCTGTCCTGATGAAGACATACTTGATTTAAGTACTCTAGGAAAAGCAAATGAACCAAGAATAAATGAATGAGGCATAAAAAAGACTATTTAAATTAATTACCCAAATAAGTAAATAGTAATAGAGAGTGAGAAAATATTCTATTTAAACGAAATGAATTTCAAAAACGAGGTGTTAATATTTAAAAGTGTCATCGTTGCACTTTAGTTATATAAATACAAATGATATAATAACAAATGATATAATAACAAAAAAGAAATGTATCGAATTGCGTGAACAGATGATACAAAAGTTATTTACAATATCGTCTATCGAATGTTTTTCAATACGCTTTGCACAATTACATATGAAAACTACAGAGAGTTATCATATTAGCACGAGTAGGGAACGAATAATATCATGGTTGTCAGTTTATACAGACCCGGCCAACGTTACAACGCAGGCTGGCCATAGTTTTCACGTGGACTTGTGCAAAGCGTTCAGTGGTCGAGACTGTATAAAAAATCCTACTAGAAAATTAGTAAGTAACAGTGGGTGATCAAATAGTAGTGGGACACTGTTTTAGTCTATTTTTATGTATGAGAGAGTAATAAAATAGCATTTCTAATGCAAAACTTAGTACGGTCATTTTAAATATTTTT